AACCGGGCCCATCCCTTGCATGTTTTGTTACCGGTGAATTCCGCATCGTCTTTAAACCGAGTCCAGTCCCATGGCCTATCTAATACACACCGAATCGAAAAATTGAGACCAATTTGAAAAACTGTTGCTCTAGACTGCATGAGAGATACATGTGAAAACGTTTTTTTTTTGTTTTACCCGTAAACGCGAGGATAGTCATTGCAGAACGTTAGTTATTCAAGTAGATAGCCATATTGTCGATTTGGTGTGGAGCAGTTTTCGTACGACTGTGAAGTCGGTGGCGTATTCGTGCCTTGCCGCAACCGTGATGATTTTGAGAATTTTGATTGTGGTATTTTTTTTCTCGCGCAATATGATTGGTCTGGCAGTGCAGTGACATTGGCGTGACCGTGTCTGCGCCGCGWKYRTGSCGTGTTYCGGGYATTTGATTGGATGGAGAGTAAATTCTCGTGCAATATGAGTGGGCTGGCGTATGCYTTGCCGTGTCACGACCGTGTYCGTGCCGTGAGCTTTTCACAGTCATACGAAAACTGCTCTATGCTTGAGCTAGTTTTAGTCAAGACTTACGGAGAGACTGTGCGATGTCGTACACCAGTACTCCACCAGGCCAATGTCCCGTCCTAATGGATCCACGAGCGCTACCGGAGTCTACATCAAGACCAAGTTTCGCAGATAGCTTTTGATCATTAGACAGGATCATGTCTCCTTCGAATAGATTTGCATTCTTGATGCCTTCATTCTCTGGATAAAACAGTCAAAGAGTTATTGTGTTATATCGAAATGCATAAACTTGGAATGAAAAAAGCACAGAAAAATAAAGAATGAGGAAGGGAATGTTTGATCTTATTTCGTATAAAAAATGAGAAATGGTATTAAATGTATCACAAWTTTTAATGATCTGCATGGGAAAGTAAGAGGCTAGGTCTTATTTCCATCGCGTTTATATAACGCTGATTATTCGAGCTCTGTATTCATATTAACTTCGATCAAATAGAGTGCACGCACTAAAACCGTGAACATTAAATAGTACTAATTAGTACTATTTCATACATTATAGTACACTCAACAAAATTACTCGACTCTGATTGGTCGAGAGGAGTACAATTATAGCGTTAATTGTACTCCGTAGGAGTACCGAATTAAGTCGCTATGGCAACACRGCCAAAACAATGTCAAAATAAATATTTTCTATCATTTTGTACTTAAAGAGAATTAAATAAAATATTAAAGCCGTAAGAACTAATGTTTTTTATGCATTTCAGTTTCGCGATGGACTGAAAATCGGCCTCCAAATAGACAAAGATGAACGGCGTCGCTTCGCATTTCTTACTGAAATTTTKTTGAGTGAACTATAAACAAAAAATCACACGATCTTCTCGTACAATTTGGAATTAATAGACACTCGTAATGTTTGAAAGTTCTTTAATTGCACTCGCCTAAAGGCTCGTGCAATTACAAGAACTTTCAAAACATTACTCGTGTCTATTAATTTCCAAATTGTACGAGAAGATCGTGTGATTTCCTATACGAATCCTTTGTTTTCTATTGTTTAATTATCACTATTTAGTGCTAAAAATTAGTATTTGTTTCACGGGTTTAGTGTGAGCACTCTACCAAAATATTCTTCACATTTTCTTTTGTTCAATTAATAACTCCTTATAGATATGCTTATATCTTTTCTCCACACCTCCGTACTTCATACTCATACGTACATATTCCATAACTATTTTGTTTACACACTAAAATTCTTTCACTAAAATTTCAGCGTGGAGTTCGCAGAATACCAAAAAATCAGTCTTCTTTAATATGACATTAAGTTCGGTTCATGTGAAGTTAGTTGCTAGTTCTCAGTTTAATCTAATAAACACCTCTCATAAGCTTAAAACTTATTTTAAAACGAATAAGTTGATAATAATAATATCTGTATAATAAATGATATAATGTAAGGCCCAGTCCACACGTACCCGCAAATTTTTGTACCCGCAAATTTTTTTTTACGGATACGGGTTGCGTCCACACGTGTCCTCAAACTTTTGTGACCGTACCCGCAAATTCTACGAAAACGAACACGTGAGGACGGTGAAAACGATTCGAATACKCTGCGTGTGGACGCGAACATTTTCGTATCCGCAAAAAATAATTTGCGGATACAAAATTTCCGGATACGTGTGGACGGGGCCTAAGTCAAAAGATTTTGCGCGTTTATAGAAAAGAGGTGGTATTACACAAACATACCATCAGGATTTCCGGCAAAACTTCCACCAACAAAAACACAGACCAACAAAATCAGCAGCATTTTAGCACGTATTCACTGAAGGATTTTCTAGGTTATTAGAAGAGTGTAATGTTATTCCCTGGCCTAGTGTTTTTATAATGGAAAAAGCAAACCCAGCTTGATTGTAACGCTTATTGATGTAAATACACCTATGAAGACCTGTTTAAATATTTATTTTAATTTGCGAAGCAAAAGGCAAGGAGTACGTCCTGAGCCCAGTTGTACCAAGCACCCTACGAAAGGTGGATAGCAATGGTTTATCCATCGGACATATAACGCTATCCACTCTTCGTACAAACGGGCCGATTTAGTTACTTAACTAATAGAGATAAGGTTTAGCTATGGTATGTTCTCTAATAAAACACGAGTGGAGCTGTAGAACAAGAAAAAGTTATAGAAATTACAAGTCGTAGTCGAACTGAATTCTTTTCATATTTTATTGTATAGAGAAGTGGATTTGACTCCATATCTAGGAAATCCTTCTATAGTTGCATTGTCGCTCACAGCCAGACATACTGCACTGCAGTGTTAGTTTAGATTGGTTACCTGTGCAAATATAATCTGCCACATGATAACMGCAATAAGCAGAATCTCCGATCTGTCTGGTGTGAAGAACAAATGATACTGTATTATGCATAAAGATTTTTTAAAATAGGTTTATAAAATAACTATTGAAAATCTTCATGCTTTCTGGTAGGGGGAAGGCAAAAAATGGCAAAGCAAACTCTAAATTATGGAAATTTTTTGTAATGGAGGTTAAAAATAGAGTAGAAAAATCAGGCAAAAAAACAGTGCAATCATTTTTCATTCACAGTTTAGAAATATTGCACTAGKGTTTGTTAAACTTTACTGTGTGAATACAATGAAACACACATAAGACCAACAGTAGTCTGTGACATCTTTATTTATTTGATGGAAGAATAGTTAATATTGTCTTATGTATACAGGTTTTCTAAACAGAACAGTGTTACAAAATGAAAAATTTAGATTTATCCCATTTATCGCTTCTGGACGCGGGGATGGTGAATATTAGGGTGGCAATGAAAGTCTGATTTTACAAGCTTGGATCACAGGCCGGAAAAAAATTAATACATGACAGCCACATTAAAACAGCCACAAGAAAGCAAAAATAACTTTTGTAATCTTGTATATATACATTTTTTTACCATTTCTAATTTTAACACAAATTGTACGAGAAGATCGTGCGATTTCCTATACAAATTTCAAATGCTAATTAGTTATTTGGTTATTTTCTAGTCTTCTGAAAAATGGGGACGATTTATTTTTTCAATGAAATAGGGCTTATTTTTGACAGCTTTTCATGTTTACCTTGTTCGCGTGTTTTTACCGTAAAAAGGATGAGCTTTGATGTATTCTGACGTATTGAATTTTGTCAGACACAGGAAGCCCATTTCATTTTTCAACATTTTTGGTTGATTTAACCAGAGAGGTGGGATTTTACAAAAGTTTTGGGACAAAACTTTTCTTATGAACTTCTTGATGCTAAAACTAACTCTTTGTAAATTGTCATTGAATACAAACAATGTCTTTTGAAAAAATTTGACTTTTCCCGCCATAACTTGGTTTCATTCCCGCCTTTTTTGACAACCTTTGTGAGTTTTCCCGCTCTTTTTCAAAACTGGAGTAGCTCAGCCAATCACGAACCAGTATTCGTGAGACGTCATACGGGTCTTCCTCATTTCTTGTTGACTTGAAGGAGAAACAACAGCAAAAGACAAAAGAGAGAGTTTCTAGAGGTTTTCTTCGTCTTTTTGCTGACTTTCCTTCAAGGTAAGACTGTCTAGCTATTAACAAAATAAGAATTAACTTCTCTGAAATCATATTTGAATCAAAAATTGAAAATAAATTTGCATTTTGTTTAGTTTTTTGGGTCTAAAATTCTTCATAGTTTTGATAGCTTTTAAGCTTACTTCAGTAATTTCGGTAAGAAAAATAAGATTTTTTTCCCTTTTTACTTACATAAAACAACTGTTAARACAATATCCTTTATTGAAGTCTGAGAAAAACTTTGAAACAAGGCTTTAACTAAAAAAGGCTTTGTTTTTGATTTTGTTTTTGTCGCTATTTTGTAAAAGATTTTCGTTTCATTAACTATAATGCTGAATCTTTAATAATTTTATTTTCAACAATTTTTTTAAATATTTGAGTTTATCCTCAAATATAAAGTACAACGAAAATGTTCTGAGAAAATTAATTSCATAACTTTATTAGTTTTTGTGCGAAACTTGGTTAACCTTTCCCGTGTTTTTTGTATATATATTTTTTCGATTTAAAATAGTCAAGATGGTAATATTCAAATTTCATTATATTGAAACGAGCTCAAGGCACCCCATTTTTCTATCCTTGTTTTAAATCAGCATAAATAAAACTCTGTATAAAATARCTTTCTAACAAAGTTTTCAAATTTCTTTTCTTTTCTTTGAAATATTTCGACTAAGTTTAAGCTTACTATCGCTAGATTGACTAAACAAATTGTACTTTGTTTATTTTTTACATTTCCTTACATTTGCCTAGATGAAGTTGAATCGACAGATTTTTTTTCAACAGAAGCTTTCAGCATCGCGTTAGGAAGGACCCTACCCACCTAACAATACATTTATGAATACCTAGATTATTAAGCTCATTTATTAGGWCGTTATGGTCTACAAGGTCAAATCTTGGTCAAATCCTTTGGAGAAATCAGCAAAGAAAATAAGGGCATAATCGTTACCCATGTCCAAACATTTTCTTGCACTAATTTGTTTTGCATTTTTCTATTATATTCCATAGATGTCCAAAAAGTTATATATTTTTATTATTATTTATTTTGCAGATTAGAGGATGGAGGTAGATTATCAGAAACCTTCCGAGTACGAATTGAAGAGACAAAAGAGAATAAAAGAAAACCACGAGTTTATGAAAAGTCTTGGTAAAAAAAAGCTGCAACTTGCTTGCCCATTTTTCCCTTGCTTTCCTATTCGTGCTTATGTAAAATTCCTCTTTGGAAATGATTCTAGAAATGACGTGTTCAACATTTACTGGAGGAGAGCGGGGTGGGAAAAGTAGAAAACATAATTTTTTCTCCAAGCCCCATCAGGTATTTAGGTATTTAACAGGATTTACATTTTCATTCAGTATCATAACATAATGCGAAAAGATTTCAACTATTTCCGCCATAAAAAAATGGAAATCCGTGACAGGCGTCAAATTCAAGAGTGAAGTAGTAATAAAGCGAACCATTATAGATTGATCGTGTTTATTGCTACCGTTCTCTAATCGGTTAGGTACCGAGATTGGATCATTGAAGGCTCGGATACTATTTTTTTTAACTAGCTATGTATTTAATTTAAGGCTTACCAGTTCCAAAAACGCCCAGGCTGCAACGGCAATCAAGGCCAGCAACAACCAAAGGCAAAAAGCGAAAAGTCTTTACCTCCTTAGATGAAAGTGAAAGTAGCGAAAATAGCGACGATAGTGACGAAGATTGGATTCCAGGCGTCTCAGAAGAGGTAGCAAAAAGAAATAAGATGATCAAGAGATTCATACCAGGTGAAATCTAACTATAACTATAACTTGAATTTAGCTAAATTTAGTTGGATGTAATGAAATGGACCACCATGCATTTTGTTCTGCCCCATTGTGTGGAATTGGGGAAGGGGCCATAATTCGGATTCATAAAAAGGATGACGCATCACGCTGTAAAAAAAATGTATGCAAAGTGCCAATGACGTTAGGAGGGAGATAAGGRAGAGAGAGGCACTCCTTAAAAAACCCAGGCTAGAGTATAGAACGCGCTCGTTACCCCCCCTTTCCCAAAAAATGCAAGACAATGCATGTATGAAAGAATTCATCAAGACTTTGTTCGATTTTTCAATTTTCCACTCGTCGTCCTATTTCCCCCAAACGAATGAACGAATGAACGAATGAACGAATGAACGAATGAACGAATGAACGAATGA